AGAGGCAGAGACGCCCTCTGGACTTTCTTCCATGTTTTGAATGGTGCAGCTTTGGCCGGAGCTTCGTTTTGGCAGGTGGACCTGTCCCGGCTCTCCCCTCATTCACGATAAATTTGTTGTGGGGCAAAAGAATAGCAACACCTGAGCAGGGACTGGACCTGATGGCCCTCCGGCCCCTTCCAGCCGCACCTCCTGTGCTTCTGTGCCTGGGGCACCTGCTGCCCGGCCGGCTTGTCTTTCCCGCAGGCCGGAAGCAGCCTGTTCTTCCAAGCTGGAGCTCCTCGAATCAGGCTCTTCAGGGAACGTGCTTGTCCCGGATGACCAAAGCTGGCGATCCACTGGATCTTCAGCCATCAGCCTTTCCCTGCTCCTGTCCCTCTTTCCCTCCTGGAGGAGAATGTGAAGCATCGCAGAGCAGCTTCCATCAGTGCCAACAAAAGGGCTTTATCTCTTGTGTTTCTGTATCGTCCGATGGTTTAAAGTTCTCCCAGCGGTTTGCAGCTGGTCTGTTCGCAACGGTTCGCCTGTCTCTTGCACTGCTGCCCGTCTCATGCCCAGGCCTCCTGCCCAGGCCTCCAGCACAGCACAGCCCCCGACCTGCGACCCACGCCGGCACAGCACAGCCCCTGATCTGTTTCATAAATGCAATGCACTATAGTCTTTTAATATGCAGCATAAAGATAAAAAATTATATATACAGTGTTATCTTCATTTTAGATGTGAAAAGGGTTTTTCGGCTCTAGGTGTTTTCTTTATTTATTTATTTAGAAAATTTCTAGGCTGCCCCATTCGCCGAAGCCTCGGGGCGGCTTACAAATAAATAAGTTAAAATACATAAATAGCAATATAAAATACACGTAACTGTATAAAATAAGTCGCCGTGGCCAAAAAACTTTAAAATAAAAATAACATTAACAATCAAAATGACTCTTGAATAAAAAGGTCTTCGCCTGGTGCCGAAAAACAAATAACAACGGCGCCAGGCGGACCTCTCTGGGGAGCGCATTCCATAGATTGGGCGCCACCGCAGAGAAAGCCCTCCTCCGAGTACCTATCCTCCTAATTTCCGTCACAGAAGGTTCCTGGAGAAGGGCCTCTCCCGCTGATTTCAGGGGGCGGGCGGGCATATATGGACATAAGCGCTCCTTCAGGTAGCCAGGACCCAAGCCGTTTAGGGCTTTATAAGTGATCACCAACAC